CTAGCTGAAATTCAAAAGCTGCTAGAATCACCTGAATCTTCTGTCATTAGTGGCTTCAGGAAGATGTTTTTTTTTCCATTCTTCTCCAAACAAGAGCACTTAGTTACAGTATATTTAAAAACCCTATATTGAGATATATCCATGATGAACATGGCATTGGGATTAGTGCTACGTGAGAATAATGATGTTTTGATTTTCTTCCCTGTGGAAAGACAGCATTTTAAGCAGAATTTGAGTGACAATTGATCAAAGCAGAGAGGCTTAAAATATGAGCTTTTTTTTTAGAAGGGCTACATAAAATATGTAAAAGAGATTGAGAATTGTTTTCTTCCCCACTCCCACACCTTTTTTTCCTAGTTAGGAATCCACAAAGAACGTCATGAACCTTTATTTTAATAAAATAATTGCACCTATGTCTATATAGTGATGTATTAATGTATGTATGTGTTTTCAAATGTACAACAAATATACAACAATACTTAATGTTGCGAAGACTCTTAGATTGCTAATCCTGACAATGACTGACAAGTCAAACTCTCTACATGTACAATCAAAAACTGTATCACCATTACAATAAATCATAACATAAAATGGTAAGGCCTGTTTGAATGTTTCTCTTTTCCCTCTTCCCAGATCACAAGTTCAGCTTTCTTGTTTGTTTCAGGTCTTTAATGGAGTAGGCTATGTCTACCTTGATGTTTCCATTTTTTTCTATTGTTTGTAAATAAATGTGTGGGGTTTTTTTTTATGTTAAGCACTAATTCTCTTGTATAGCTATTGTCTGCTGAGCCAGCAGTGGTAGAAACTCAGTGTACTAACAATTTTTAATTAGATAACCTCACGCTGACAATCAACGCCACAGCTTCATTTTAGCTGGAAACCTGACTGTCAGGCGGTTGTTACATACCCTGCTTTAGGCTGTGCAACTGGAAAAGACCCCTGAGTTGACTAGAAGACAGGCAGCTGTAAAAGCTTCGTGCAGTAAGTGTGAAACATTACGTGTCTATTAGGTTGACAATTGTGGCAGCTCTGTCCCTTCCTTTCGAACAGGTACAACTCTTGCTAGGTTTGAAGGTGATCGGGGTTCTCAAAAGTCCAGTTTTGCCTGGCACAGGTGGCCACTTAAAGCCAAACAAACTTCAAAGCTGAAACCCTGGCTATGTTGACATAAATCCTTCTAAATTTCAGAGCATTTGGGATTTTGTGCCAAGCCTTGGAAACGCCTTCTAAAATGATGAAAATATCTTGATCCTGCCTATGCTTTGTCGTTAACGCTATTTTCAGCTTTTATGCAAGATTTATTGCTGTCAGCTTCTAAGGTGAAGAGTAATTGAAGGCAATATGAACTGGCAGTGCAATTTGCAGACCTCCTTCCACAGCCTCAGAGCAATGTGAACGCCCCAGGCTTACACTGGGCTAGGTGAAAAGTATCCTGGCATAAAGGTGAGTTTTGGGGCGCTCCTTTCAGGGCCCCTCTCGCTGTCACCAGCGCCCTGCACACTCTCAGGGTTTTTGCAAAATGCTGAATCGAGGTCCAGGCCCCAGACACCTGCACTCTGCCACCTGGTCCCTATCACTCTGCGGGGAGGCTGTGATGGGCCCCCTCACAGCTGTTCTTCCTTACTCACTGTAGTTCTACTTGTAATTGGCATTTATCCTCAGATCTTGTCTTCTTTGTCCCATGTTTGGTTGTTCTCTGCCCTTTTCCTGCGTTACACAGGTGTGATTCTGCCCGCTGTTGCAGCGGCTGCTTGTTCCGACCCCAGCCGCTCGTACCATCGGTGCGGCCTCGTCCTTGCGCCTCTCTGTCCTGGTCTCTGACCTTGGCTCTCCTGCCTCTGCTCTTTGCCTTGTCCTTTGCCCCAGCACGTTCCTCTGGTGCTTCAGGGGGCTGCCATCTGACCCGTGGTTACCCATAGAAAACAAATTGCAGGGAACGTGCTCCCAAACCCGGGGCTGGGGAGACACGTGGCCGAGCTGAGCCGCACGCTGCTGCCCACATCACCCTCCGTGGGCCGCTTCCCCGGGAGCCCCTTGGAACAACGCCCGATTTCCCCCTTTTTCCCACATGGAGCAAACCGACACGACCGTTTAACACCGCGTTGGGAAGGGAGGCTGAAGGGAGCAGCGCAGCCCCGCGCCGGGGAGGCCGCACCGGGGCCGGGCCGCGGCACGCGGGGAGGAGCGGCC